CTATCCAAATCTTGCCGCCTTCACCTTCGTAACGTCTCTAAAATACGCCCCTTCCTCACCCACCAAAGAAACCGCAAAATTACTCATCCACTCCCTTGTTATCTCTCGTCTTGACTATTGCAACTCCCTCCTCATTGGCCTTCCACTACACAGGCTATCCCCCCTTCAGTCTATCATGAATGCTGCTGCTAGACTCATCCACCTAACCAACCACTCAGTGTCTGCAACCCCCCTATGTCAATCCCTGCACTGGCTTCCAATAGCCCAAAGGATAACATTCAAAATATTAACAATCAGTTACAAAGTCATCCACAACTCTGCCCCCGGCTACATTTCAAACCTGGTCTCAAAGTATCACCCTAACCGTCGGCTCCGATCTTCCCAAGACCTCCTGCTTTCTAGCTCCCTTGTCAACTCCTCCCATGCTCGCCTCCAGGACTTCTCTAGAGTCTCTCCCATCCTCTGGAATTCTTTACCCCAACCTGTCCATCTGTCGCCCACCTTGACTGCCTTTAGGCGATCCCTAAAGACTCATCTCTTCAGGGAAACCTATCCCACCTCAACCTAACCGCTCGACTATCACGTTCTCAAACAATTCATCCCCACGCAGCTCCCTCCTCATGTATCACTTCCCCCTCCCTTTTAGATTGTAAGCCCTCAGGGGCAGGGCCCTCCTTACCATCTTGTCTTGAATTGTATTGTGATTGTAATGTCTGCCCTATATTGTAAAGCGCTGCGCAAACTGTTGGGGCTATATAAATCCTGTATAATAATAATAATAAAAATCTATGGTCATGTGACACAATGGGCCCAACGCAAAGGGGTTTCCTCACAGACTCCAGTGTAATGACATCATGAGGAGGGGGAGCAACAAGACTGGTCAATACCTGGCCCAGACTGCAGTGTAAGGCTGCAACAACTAATCGACATAATCGATTATAATCGATGATTGAAAAAGTTGTCAACTTTTTCAATCACCGATTAATCGGCTTCCGATTGGTTGGCCCTGTTCACGGCTCCATACACGCTGCGCGCCACACCTCCCCACCTCACGCTCGCCGCTGCCAGACCCGCCCGCATGCATCCACGCTCCGCACCTCCTCCCTGCCTCATGTTCACCGCCCACCCAAATCCACGATCGCCACAGGGACGCGGGGAGAAGAAATTCCATCCTCTTCGCCCCTTAGAGAGAGACATTTAGCTGTGATGTTAGAATTGTTGCATGGAACAGTGAGGAGATGGTTTACATTATAGTTTACATTCTCCTTGTAAAGTAGAGTAATCACACCGAGGTGCACATTGTAGCACCCTCCCAGTCATCAGGCAGGGAGCAGTGAAAGGCCGGTTAGTAATCTTTCCCTGGCTGGGTTCACTCCGTTGTCCACACATTGCTGCTAAGAAGCAAGCCAGTGAGAGAAGTGTGACTAAAGTGTGTGTCATCCGTCTGATTCCATTCCCCAGTCCCGGGTCACAGAGTACCTTCATACCAAGCTGTACTGCCATCACCCTGCCTGGACCTCTGCAGGGAACGTTTGTAGTGTAAATCATTTGACATTCCTCCACACACTTAAAGAAAGGGCTTCATTGTTTAGCTATGTGGAGAGTAAAACATAATGGGGTAAGAATCCGTCTTTGTGTTACACCAGTAGTCTGTATGCAGGGGAGGCTGCAACATTCTCTAAGCCAACATCCAGCCTATTCAATCACATCACTCGGACCATTCCATATACCCTCTGCCAAGTCTGACAGTAAAGGTAGGCAAGCTTGGTACACCAGTCTTTGTGGAACCACAAGTCCCATAAGACATTTCAAGACTGACGACCTGGAGGCATGTTTCCCAAAAGCAGAGGCTTGTTGGGATTTGTAGTGTCAGCACAGCTACAGTTACTGAGGTTAAGCGCTTGTTTTGGTCTAGAGCTGAAAATAACAGTTATGCTCACCTAATCCTTGGAGCCGGCTTACTCTTAAACCGATCCCTGGAGCCTCCCCCCAGTCAACACTTCCTTTGTTGCAGCAGTTTATGATCCCTAACTCATTACATTGTATGCACAGTGTATAGGACATGAGAAAGCCCAGGGACGTACCATCACTGCAGCAGAGGAGGAGACCGGCTGCAGGAAGCACTGTCACGGGTGGCCGGCTCCGAGGATCAGGTGAGTATAACTTTGTATAATTTTAGCCCTAGACCAAAACGAGCAGGTAACTCTTACAGTGCCGAGGGTGGCCCCACAGCAAGGGTTAATGAAAAAGTTACACAGACATCTTTTTCAAGGTGATTGTAGATGTATTGGTACACTTGCAACAACCCAGTTGGGTACTGTCCTTGATTCTTGCTTGTAAAAGGAAGGATGTAGTAGATTCCCGAACACTTGTCCTAAAAAATCAGCCGGTAAATCATAAAGTTGGCCGCAGTTTAATTGTACAATCTCCTTAATAGCTGCCAACAACTATGTGTGGCCCGTCTGATTGGCTCATACCTGAATAGATTGTTTAGGTCGGCCCTCATATTACATGGTGGTTGTAAATCTAAAGGAATCCGATTATAACGTGAATGGCCATCTTGGGGGTAACAAACTATGTGCAATGCATTCCATTTATATCCAATCACCTAGACCCTTGGTTCTCAACTGGTGGGTCGCGGCCCCATGTTTAGCGGGTCGCCGCATGCCTTCCTTAGCCTCCCCCTTTTGCAGCACTGCAAGTTCTTGAGCCAAACAGCCATTCAAAATATGCTGCCCGGTGCCGAGTGTCGGCTTGAGGTGGGATGGCTGGGGCTATGGCCGTGAGGGAGCTCCATCCATACGTAAAGCTTCTTCACTTGTCCTGTAGAGGTGCCTGGACCGGAGTGATGTCACATTCTGGTTCCTGGCACCTCTACAGGGCACACAAAGGGAGCTGTACAAGCAATACACATATGGATGGAGCTCTGTCACAGCACAGCAGCCCACACTGGACCCCAGGCTGAGGATCCACTCCAGTTCTCGTTGGGTATGGAGACTGGGTGGATCTTTTGAATAGCACCCCAAACGCACCCCCTACTCAGTTTGATCGCCCACACAGGAACGCACGGTACTGCAATGCTGTGCGTTCCATTGCAGTGCGACTGAGGTTACACAGATTGAGAACCACTAACCTAGACCATCACTCTGCATAGTTGTTGTCAATCTAGAAGATTATACAATCAGATTGTAATGTGTGTGACCAGCATAAGGTGAGACGGCTCTACTTCTGACAGGTAAATGGATTCTTTGCACGAGTTGGAATTGTCTTTGTGTATAGCCAATTGAGGCAGGTCACAGATGGAAATGCACACCTCCAGGTCATGTGCTCCCTGTCTCTTACCCCTATACAGTGTGGCACATGGTCAGTGAAATATCTCGTCCCTTTCCCTCCATAGAAAAGGGAGCACATCTTAGTGATAATGCATGCTCAAAAAGCAATCCTGAATAGGGCGGCAACTAATTTTAGGAGCTTTGGATGCCTGGCTCCTGTTATTTTCTCTAACCCATGTTAATGGCACCCTAAATGCAGCAGTCAAAACGCACCTCTTTGCTCATGCGTTGATTTGGGTAAAACCCGTTAAAATGCTTGGTCAAAAAACACATGAAGCTTGCCGCTCACACTGATGCATGAGCTTGTTTGTCATGCGTAGAGCAGCCTATTGAAATGAATGTGTAAGATAAAATCACTGGCGCCAAATGTAACAGTTCTTGAGGGAAGAGGAAGAACTCCAGAGGCACGGTGGCAGCTCTTCACAGTCAGGGAAAACTGCATATCTGTGCATTTAGAATGATTCGGCTCTTCACTAGCACTTCTTAGCCTCATCTGTTCGTCCATCCTCTATTATCCTGAGATCGTATCGCTACAAGCATGTTACCATTGCTTGTTTTGTGAGTACTTTTCAGCTGTTTTTTAAATATTGAATGAATCGCTCTTTACACTATGGAGGCGCTCCTTTTACTTATCTTCTATTGAAATGAACGGGCTGACGTGCTGCAAAGCACGCATAGATAGTCCATGGTCCCATCGCACTCCTGACCGCGTGAATCCCTACAAGAATTGGGTGCTGCGGTAGTCAACGGGTGGCAGCCGTAACAATCGTGAGCTAAAGCAGAGACACCGGCACTCCAAATTTGCAAAATACGTCTATTTATTGACGTGCACGGTGCTAAAAAACAACGAACGTTTCGAGGTCACAAAGGATCCCCTTCATCAGGTAAAACATACGTATGTATCTATCGGGGAAATATCACACATACGTATGTTTTACCTGATGAAGGGGATCCTTTGTGACCCCGAAACGTTTGTTGTTTTTTAGCACCGTGCACGTCAATAAATAGACGTATTTTGCAAATTTGGAGTGCCGGTGTCTCTGCTTTAGCTCGCAAAGCATGCATAAACGCACCGCAAGTGTGAATTGGACCTGATGGAGGCTGCCATGCTGCAGTGATCATGTGCTGCATAAGTACTTTGTAGTAAAGTTGGTCTTTGTATCTTTCCTTTCTGATTTTTCTATTTGTATACATTGCAAAATATTTTCCCCGGTAATAGATACACCATAACAGGAGACCGCAAGTATGGGCGAGATGCTTATAAAAGTTTGCCATCTGCTAGGAAATGTAAACCGTTTTATATACTTGTGTCTGCTGTTATGTGTCGGCTTTATATAGAAATAGGAAAGAAATGAATGGTACTGGAAGCTTATATAAAATATATAGAAGAATATATATCTCCTCTACCATTCCCCTGTATAGTTGGTTATATAGATGAATGGCAAAGGAAGCTAATATAAAATCAGAGCAGACGTAGACAACCTACGCTTGTCACATCTGAATATATAGAGGAAGAATGTAGGCTGTATTGTATGTAAATCTATGCGGGGGTCCTGTCTCGGCTCCTATAGACCATTGTGATTGATGTGGGGGCTGATTTAAGAGGTGAAGATGTTCTGTCAACACTACTAACAGTTTGGCTCTCTTGTGGCTTCCTCCTGCAGGTCAGTGATGTCATATTGGTGGGCGGAGCTTGGGAACTCCCTGTGAAACATTGAAGCATCATGTTTCAGTATGAACATTAGCACGGAGGAATTCCGCAGCCGAGGACGAGCTTTCCCATTGAGTACAAACCACTGTCTGGATTACAAAGCCTCAAGAAGCCGGGATCTCTTACACTCCTGACGGAATTGTCACATCTTTCCATTGCCCTTTCGTTTTCTTCCTCACTTCTTTATCTGGTGTGGTTTTAAGCCTGGTGGTGGACAGTCGGTGGGCACCACTATGTGTCATGTTATAGTAACATGCCGCTCTATGCTATGGACCATCCTGAGCATTGTCGTTGCCTTTGGAGAACTGATCGCCTTCATGAGCGAGGACTGGCTGATTGGTAAAGCAAAGAATGGTGACATTGATAACAGGACTGGATGGCCGCAGGAGCCTTACCGCCCCACGCTGGGCATTTATGGACGTTGTATTAAAATGCCTCAAGTGCAGTATTTCCGGAGAGACCCCCTTTGCGGTCCCTATGCTGAACATTTCAATGAGATTGCTAGTGGCTTCTGGCAGGCTACCGCTATCTTCCTAGCAGTGGGCATCTCAATCCTATGTATTGTAGCATTTGTGTCTGTCTTCACCATGTGCGTACAAAGTGTGATGAAGAAGAGCATATTCAATGTCTGTGGGCTGCTACAAGGAATAGCAGGTGGGTACTTTGGTGGGAAGCATTACCCATTTTATCTCATTTTTATTGTTGCCATTTCCAGGTAGGTTGCTGCCATATGATTTTTAGCCTTCTGTGTGTTTAAGTAACGGGCATTCCTTAAACCTTTTTACCCTTACTACAGGAGCCGTTTGATGGATCTACCATTTAGTAAGCCTCTTAAAGTGCAACTGAAGTGACCAATTGTTGTTTTTTCTAGTTTTGGATGGAGTGGGGAGCAATTGGAACCCCTGTCAGGTTTGTATGGCTGTCTTTGCCCCTGTAATGCTGGGCACACACCTTACAACCATCGTAAGACCTTTGTCTTGCGATGGTTGTAAGGTAATTAAAAAAACATATGATCTGCCTATCTTGGACAAGCAGATCGTACTTCTGATGACTGCAATGCTGAACGGGCAGTGTGCGCTTGCGGCATTTACCTTACGAACATGCCACACACCGCCGACAATCGTACGCTTCTCGGCGGGTTTTCGAACATGTTCCTAAGATAAAAGTCGTGCGACCTTACAGGAGCAGAGGTCGCACGCCTTCCACACACCTTGCGATAATCGTACAGTCGAGAGATTCACCCTCTCATCCTGGTGACCGTCATCACTGAAAGTGACAGTGGGTTGTCATCAGAACTGGAATAGATGGGAAGTCTTCCATTGGTGACCCCACTGACCACCAGGGATTTTCCCTCACTTTGCAGGGATTTCCTCTCGCCTCCTGTTGTGCCTGTCAGGCAGGAAGTGAAGGAAACACAGATGGGACACAGATGGCAACTAATAGCTAATAGGGAGTTAGAACCCTTTCTTACTCCATCCAAAACTAAAAGAAAAGGTTTTAACTTCAGTTCCACTTTAAACCCATCAGTTTAGGGCTTCTCCTTTCTGGTTCTGATATTGTTGCACACCGTTAGGATACACATTGTATAATAATGTACTACCCATATCACCGGGTTTTCTGCCTGATTGGTTTCACTTCATGTAGCCAAGCATTTCCATGGCTGTGATTGCTGCACTCTGTCAAGTACCGCTTAGAGCTGTCAAACATCCGATAATCTGCTTCCGAGAAGTGACTTTCTGACAGCTGTGACTCAGGGAACAAGCTGAACTTTTTAGTGCATGATGTCATATACCTCCGAGTGATTTCTTCTTGTAGACGGTGCTGCAGTAAACCCAGCATGCTCTGTTCAGTATCTCACGCACACGCACACACTTCTGGCTGTGATTTCTGGTTCTCCATAACACAGCAGCCGCTAGTCATTAGGACACTGCTGACCTTTGTAGCAGGGTTGTGTCTTTGCATCATATCAATTTGAAAGAGAAGGTGAGCGCCACGCCGCCTTCAGCGTCTCAAAGGTTAGCTTGTTTATTGCATAGCGACAGTTGCTGCGTGAGAACGGCCTGTCAATATTTGCAGCTGGTAATCTCATCAGACTCATTCTGATTGACTCATTCACAGCTGGGTTTACCATTCCGAGGTCCCGCCTGCAGCTGTGCGACTCTCTGATCCATCACTAGGCTTACAATACCTAACAAGCTGTATATTCATTCATTCTCTCCTTCTTTTTATGCACGGTACAATCAAAATGCTGCATAGGACAGCTGTTAAGATGGCGCATTGCTACTTCGTCTCCAACAGCGGAAGGCATACCATTAAATACACATTATATTAGTTCCCAGGCAGTTGCAAAACAAATGTATTATGTGTTATCATCATCTTTTGATGCTGCAACCCAGGGGTGGGCAACTCCAGCTGTGCTTTAACTACAAATCCCAACATGCCTCTGGGAGTCGTACCTGTAACTGTTTGTCTTGCAATGCCTCATGGGACTTGTAGTTCCACAACAGCTGAGGGGCCGGACTTGCCCACCACTGCTGTAACTTCTGATTGCTTCTCATTCGGGATGCACCGATACCGGTATTTCCGCTACGAGTACCAATAGTTTTTTTTTCCGGTACTCGCCGATACAGGAAGTCCTATTAAGGAAGCCAGGCGGTGTGTAATTTCCTCCCCTCCTGGCTTCCTGACTAGCCGGGTGGCATGTAAAGACTCGCCACCCGGCTTCCCAAATAGCTGGGAAGCCGTCCCCATGCTTCTCGTCACTATGGGATGAGAAAGCAGGGAGCTGGCTCCCTGATTGGCCGGGAAGTCTGCTCCTTGCTCCCTCGTCATTAGGTGACGAGGGAGCATGAAGCCAGCTTCTCGGCCAATCAAAAAGCCAGCCACCGCGTCATTACACAGCGCCCCCGGCTACCTGATTGGCCAGTTTCTTGACCAATCAGGAAGCCGGGCAGCGAGTCATTACAAGCTGTCTGGCTTCCCAATTGGCTGGGAAGCCAGCTCCATGCTCTCTCGCCACAAGTGAGTAATGACTCAGTGACCGGCTTCCTGAAACCGGAAGTATCGGGCTAGGCATCGTGGCATTTGGGCGAGTACGAGTACTACTCGGCATCGGTGCTTCCCTACGTCTCATGAATACATTTGATATATGCATAGCTAATTATCAGCGATAATTAGTCTAAGATGGTCGAACGCAGGGTTAGGCAACCTCGGTAATTCGGCTGCGGTGAAACTACATCTCACATCATGCCTCTGCTTGCCATCAGAGCTTGGGGTGCTTCACCTGTAGTTTATGTGCTGATATATAATAGGATGCTGTGTAGGACAGAGTCTCTTCAGTGCTTGTGCAGTGTCAAGAAACGAATGATTGTTTCCTGATCCATCCTAAAGCAGTGACTGTTATCTCTTGCCTTTACACCTACCTGTCGCGTGTTGTTGTGATAAATTGCCTGATCCTTTCTGGAAATGTCTTGAATTGCAGACTCTTGCTGAGGTTATGATCTTTAACATGAATTCAGGCACATACAATTCTGCAACATGCTCCAGACAGTCATAAACTTGGGATTAGATTCCATTTGTTATTGCTGGCTGTTTGTATCAGTAGATTTCTATCAGTGGTGACACGGCAAATAATCCTACAGAACAATGAATATTATGCAGAAGATGATGGTGGCAGGCACAAACCTCTCCTCTATAAGTGTGTGGGGGGGGGGTTCACACATCTGAGATGTAGATGCACTCTACGTAAGATGCACTTTGCTGAAACTGCATAGATGCCGCAAGCAGGACTTTTTCACTGCACCCAAACCACCCCTTTGAAATGTAACACGGAACTTGCTGAGATCCAGGGAGCGTTAGCCTGCGAAGGAGCTTTTAGGGCTTGTTCACGCCAAATGCAGACCAGATCTGCATGAGTTTCTGCAGTGCAGTATGTTTTGACGTGTTTTTTTGACGCGTTCAGGGCCGTGTTTTTTTTTTTAGTTTAAAATGGGCTTTCAGTGCGTTTACATGCGTTCCAGAGCAGGTAAAATAGGGCTTGCTGCAGTTTTTTCTACATGCTCTGGAACTGAACGCTGCGGTGTGAACTAGAGCCCAAAATACCATTTGGAATACATTGGACACAGTTTTGATCCAGTTTGTAACTGGTCTGCTCCTGGAACGCGCTTGGTGTGAACTAGCCCTAAGTGGCCGGTTTGCAGGAACTCCACTTTCTTGCAGAGCTCTGTGCTTCCGGGTGATTTTTAAGGAGGGTTGGAGACCTGGCTCCTGGGATTTCCAGCCCTGTGTTAAGAAAATAGTAGCTATAAGAAATGCCGTGGGAAACCGTGTTTCAAATCTGCTGATCTGGCAGATTTGTAAGGGAGCATACTCCCGGGTGTGAAGGCGAACAGCAGTGCTGGTACAGTGGCCGTTTGATCTACGGACAGGTGCCACCAGGCTCCAGAAAGACAACAAGAAGAGGAAATGAGATCTGGTGAGGGCTGCTCGTTGACTGACAGGTTTGAGGGATAACAGCTCTCTTCTATTCCGGGTTTGAATGGCTTCAAATACATACCAGTGAAAATTCATATCAGGCCGAAGCTTGCTGCACAGCCCTCACCACATGTCACGGCTAATAAGATTAAGTCCACAAATGAGCAGGCTTTGACATTATCTAGCTGTGAAGAGACAGTTAACAGGCAGCCACTTTGTCTCCCAACCAATTTTCCCCTTTGGGTAACCTAATTGGAGAGGCTTTGCTGGTTTATGGTGCTCACATGTTGTTGACATACTTTGTACAGTTCAATAATGACAAGTGTGTAACAGATGCCGCTGTGTGGAACTTACCCCGGAATTCAGCCATTTACATCCACTGCACATTTGTATTTATCGTGCTGCAAACCCAGAGTACAGGGTACCATTGCCTGAAAGTCTAATGCGCCTTTCACAAGGGTGGCATCTGTTTCAATCAGCAGGGGATCCATGCACAGATTCCCTGCTGATCAGAGCAGCAAGGAACGGATGTTACTCTTGTGATATCCATGTCCCTTCCGCAAGATGGAGGGAATAAATGAAGTTGTACGGACCCATGTTAGATCTATGGGGAGACGGATGTAAGAAGACATGTCCATATATTTACCTCCGGTCCCTCCTAATCAGGTCCCAGTTCTGTTCCATTTAAAAAATATATATTTTGTGGACCTAGATAGACTCGGAGGTAACTAGATTTAAGTGGGACTCGGGCCCACATACATCCAACTGACTAACATTGAGCTTCCGATCAGATCCGCCTAAAAAACTGACAGACCTAATCGAAATGCCATATTAAAGGGGCCATATAGCTTTTATCCAACAACAAAGTCACACATCCATTCAAACCTTTAGATAGATGCTGCTGTTATGACTTTGCAGCGCGGCTAAGTGTGTAATTTAGTGCATAGAAATATAAGAGCTGCACAAGGGACTTGTTTTTAAAAATTCAGGTTCTGGGGCTGTCATCCTTATCCTTCAGTGCAATCCCTAATGAGTCATTGACCTGGGTCAAATATGCAACCAGTGAGGTCCTAAAATCTGAATTCTCCTCATCCTGCATACATGACTCAATAAGTAGCAGTAGCATCTGGATGACCATTTCAAACCCTGAACTAATAAAAACAAGTCACCAATGTTAGTTA